CTCATCTAATGCTCCCAGCAGCCCTTCTCCATGTTCAAAAGACTGGAAGTCAGTTCTAGAAAAGCTCAGTAACTTTTCCTGGGTCAATCATAGCATCTTCCAAATTCTTTGATGGATGTTTTCCTGTTAAATTAGTTCTTCATTACTCCATTATCTAATGTAAAAGTGACTGGATCCCTCTTGGATTCTATTCAAACTAGTTTATTTCACTTGGCAAAGATGTAAATGAAAGTACAGTATTTCTATCTTACCTAGTTATGAACTCAATCTGGTAATACAATAGTATAGGTAAACTTTATCAGAAAGTCAAGAATACTAAGAATTTTTCTTTTGTTTTTCAATTCAATCCATGAGTTATTTATTCAAGGTTTTTTTGTGTTGTTTTTAAATGTCTTCTTTACAAATGGTCTGTAAACTTCATGAAGCAATAGAATAGTGGAGGTTTAGCCTGGTATTAGCATATGTCTATAGATTGTACTTAAGGAGGAAACCCAGTGAATATCACTTGTCATTACTTTTCTTCAAGTTCTTTTTTTTTGGGGGGGGGTCCAGTTGTGGGCCTGAACTCTGGGCCTGGGCGCTGTCCCTCAGCTCTTCAGCTCAAGGCTAGCGCTCTACTACTTGAGCCACAGTGCCACTTCCGGCTTTTTTCTTTTTGCTTATGTGGTGCTGAGGAATCGAATCCAGGGCCTCATGCATGCAAGGCAAGCACTCTACCACTGAGCCACCTTCCCAGCCCTCTTCAAGTTCTTTTAATGATCAGTGCTTTACTTGGTTTAATAAAGATACAGTCCAGCCACTTTGTGGACCTTGAGCCCAGTTCTCAGAAAGAGGTGAAGGTGGAGCTTAAATCAGAGAAAACAGTTCTTAGAGAGCAAGTCAGATTGACTCTAAAGTTCAGAGAAAGTTGAATAAGCCAAAGATAGAGCCCATAATTTCTCTGAAGTCAAACCAATTCAGATTACAGTATTGCTATGATCCTGGCCTTTGACCTATTTATATCAGTATTTATTTATTTTTTTCTGAGCTTGGGTCATTGTAGATTAGAGCCATTGAAGTAAATGTGAAAAACAACAATGCTAGTTTACATCCTGTAAATAGAATTTCTGTTCTACAGGGAATGGTAGGTGTGTTTGCTTGTTTTAGAAGTTGGGTTATTCACATCCATACAATGAGACAAAGGAGGATATTCTTAGGAGAGGATCACAAAGGCTCAATAACTATGTGCATATGATCATATAAAATGATGTTTTTTTAAATGAACTCCAAGAAATGGAAATGAGGTTTGTTGTTACTTTGCTTTTTTTTTCTCCTTTGTTGCTGTTTTTTAATTTTTTGTACCTTTTGTCTGGTAAGTTAATCTGCTTTGGGGAGAGTAAGGGAGAACACAGAAAAACTGGGAGAAAACAAGGGAAAAGGTGGCACTGTCCAAAAAGAAATGTACTCATTACCTGAATTATGTAACTGTAACTACTATGTCACCTCTACAATAACAATTTTAAAAAGGAGAAAATAAAGAAGTTAGGTGATTCAAATACATGTCTCTGAGCATCCAAGTAATCAGAGAAAAAAATTTAGTCATTATTTGTTCTCGTGTGTGTGTGTGTGTGTGTGTGTGTGTGTGTGTGTGTGTGTGTGTGTGTGTGTGTGTGTGTGTGTGTGTGTGTGTTACTTGGGCTCAAACCCAGGGTTTTGTGTAAACCATGCAAGCATTTTACCTTATTACACTAAGGTACATTACCACCTCTTACAATACTTAAACAATTTTTCTCCATTGTAATATCACTTAGGTTTGACATAGTCTGTAGAATTTTTCTTAGAAGGGCTTTCCTCACCTTCCCCTCCAGTACTCAGGATGAAATCCAGAGCCTTACATAAGCTAAGCAAATGCTCTATTGCTGAATTACAATCCCAGTCCAGATGAGGCTTTGAGTGAACATAAGGATTTATTAGGATTGATTTAAGTTTAAGCTACAGTGTATGTGTGTATGTTAATTTCCACCAGATTTATTCCTTCCTATTCAGATACCATTGTAAGCCTTGCATAAGATTCTATTACTGAAGTCCATTGTCTCTTGACAAGGAAAGCAAGTAGATTCTCTTCCTGATCTATTTCCTAGGATGTTTGGATGTGAAATGTATCCTGTACAGGTGACACTTCAAAACAGGTGCATAGTTTGAAAGTATTCAAGTTTGAATATATGAATTCTTGAGTTATTGATATGTCTGAAGAGCTTTTATAATGTATTGTCATTGAACAGCTTCCTCTAATTAGTAGTACAAAGACTGAACAAATAGAAACCTCTGAGTCTTTGAAAATTGTGAATAGGAAGAATGTTGAAGTTAACAGAAATCAAAGACACAATTCAAATAATTTGTGGTGCTGTGTTTTTACTTTTGAAATGAAAATTATGACTGTTGCATTTCTCCTAGCTTTTAGCCTTGAAGCTCTTAAAAGATAATGTCTGGCCATTTCTGTGTCTTTCTCAGTCTCTTACAACAGAAGGCATTTAGTAAATATTCACTGCCTCTATGGAATAAGATTATCCTTTATTGTTTTCTAATGTTATTATTATCATCCAACCTTGCATTGGAAGAGAAACATAATCTGTAACTTGTATTTCAGTCTCTTTATGCAGATGTGTTAGTTGTTGATTTCACTTTGCTTGCTTGCCTCAAAAACATAGTTTGTGATTGCTAAGATATCAATAACCTCTCCACACCACTAATTTCCTCTTTGAAAACTGCTGCCCATTTACCCATTGGTCACTGTGTCGCCTAAGCTGGTCTTTTAACTCCTGCCCTCCTCTCAAACTCTAATTTGCAAGCTTTCTAATTTCATTTATTCTATTATTTAATGTTTACAGCAAAACCTTTTTTTTCTTTTTTTAAATTTTTATTTTTTTATTGTGAAAATACTGTACAGAGGGGTTACAATTACATGGGCAAGATAATGAGTACATTTCTTATCAAGCATTGTAGCCTCCTCCTTTATTTTCCCTTCCCATCCCTTCCTATCCTTCCTCCTCCACCCCCCTACCCATACAGTGAAACCTTTTGTGGACAAAAATATTTATAGTACCAGATTGGCTAGTTGTATAATTTTCAAATAGTATAGTATCTGGCACAAAAGTTATTTGAAATTAAAAGAGGAACTTTGATTATGTCTAACTGATGTTTTGCTGGAAATAAGCATCTTTGATAAGCCATAGCATCTGGAGTAGTTTAAGAAGAAAAAAATAGATTGCTGAATATTTGTATTCGTGAGTTAGACTCATGGCTCCCTCACCCTGGAAGCTTCCTGTCTAACGTGACTTTAGCCAAAAGCAGTGGCTCAGGCCTATAATTCTAGCTGCTAGAGATCAGAAGGATTGCATCTAGAGGCAGCTGGGCAAAAAGTTCACAAGACTTCCTTCTCAACCAATAGCTGACTATGGTGGTGCATTGCTGTCATCCCAGTTACATTGGAGCCTCAGGTCAAGTGGCTTGTAGTTTCATATCAGCCCGGGCAAAAATGTTTGAGAGATTCCCTATAATAGAAGAAGCTGGGTGTGGTGGTGTTCACCTCAATCCAGCTATGGTGGGATGCATGAAATAGGATTATGGTGTAGGCAAGGGCCTAGATAGAAGCAGAACCCTGTCTCAAAAAGTAAACATTGTGAAAAAGTGCTAGTAGCATGGCTAAGCAGTATAGTGTCTGCCTAGCAAATATAAGGCCCTGAGTTCAAATCTCTGTTCCAAATAAATAAATAAATGTTTTCCTACCTCATAGTAATACTTCCACATTACCCTGTTTATTTCACTTCATAGCACTAATCACAATATGAAGTTGTTCTGTTTACTTCATAGTTTCTCTTATCAGGCACTTTGTCTTCACTGTTAAATTACTGGTTTTTAGATCAATGTTTGACTCATAATAATAACTGCATTGAATAAAAAATTCTTCATTGAATAAATGATGAGAAATATACTTAGACTCATGAACAGGAATACCTATTTTTTGTTCTTTCTTTTGAAACAGGGTCTTGTTATATAGCCCAAACTGACCTTGAACTCACAATGTAATCTAAGATGGCCTCTTAACTCTTCATCCTTCTGCCTGAGCCTTCCAAATGAATGGGATTACCAGTATGCACCACTACACCCAGATCCTAGTTAACATTCACAGCTACTTTTTCTTCCACAAATTAAGAGTTGAGAAATGTATAAGCAGATTCTGTGAATACCTCCCTCTCTATCCACACCTCAACTTCCCACTCTCCTGCTCCCAACTCCAGTTATTGCTCTAAGGTTTATGTCCCAGGCTGACTTCTACAATAAAGTATTAATGTGCTAGTAAAGACACAAGGCAGAATACGCACTGTCTAGACTTAATTTAATAAAGAATATCTAATTTATATGTTGCTTTTCACGTTCTTGACTCAAATGTCCTGGTAGGATTGAAATTATACCTAAAGTCTGAGCACATTACTTGCCCAGGGCAACAATAGACCTTTTTTCAAATTTCAATTAGCTGAAGCTAGTTGTCCTATAAGTTACAATGTAATCTGAAAATCCTGATTAAATACAGGCCATCCCAATTAGGTGAATTATCTGAAGTACTGGCTTTTTATCTACTGACATTTATGATTAGAAAGCCTTAGAGAAATTAGATTTCCTTAATGGTATCCATTGGTACATTATTACAAATGATCTTTTTCCTACAACCCATTCTCCTTATCTCATATTCAAATCTGAATGTATCTTACAGGAGCAGTTTGGCAGAATGAGTGTGGGTTGGTTATCTAAAGTCCTGCTATAAATCCTCTGTCCTCATTTCCCAACATGATCCCTATTGGCCCACATTACTTCTCTTTCCATCTATAGATCACAAACAAACAAAATAAATCTAAGTGAAGATTCTAGCAGATCATTCATTTGTTGGGTAAAATTCTGTATTGAAAAAGTATTTAACTGTTTTTACTATTTCCATATACTTATTTATATCATTTCTTTTCTTCAGAGACTCTCCAGCTTATTCTCATCTTTTCCTGGCAAAATGGATCATTCCCACCATATGGGGATGAACAGTATGGACCACAATAGTACCATGCCCCCATCTCACCATCACCCGACCACTTCAGCCTCACACTCCCATGGTGGAGGAGAGCACAACATGATGGTGAGTGTTGGGGGAGGATAAGCAAAGGCCCTTTCCCGTTCACGTAGACAATAGAAGTAATGGAATTGTAGCACTAGAATGTTATTGTCATTAAAGGTCAGCTTTCCAATGAAGTAAAAACCAAAGTATATTAAGGATAGACAGCTAGACAGACAGATCAATCAATCAATATATAGATAGTGTATCTCCAGACAAGTCAAGCAATTTACTTATGTTCATATGGTGAGTCTGCTATAGAGTCACACCAGAACCATGGTTTCTAGGGTTCTTTGTTCTCTAGTTTGCTTCTTTGGAGTTTGCCCTTTCCTGAATGAAGTGTTCAGGTCTTTACACTTCATTTGGGAAGAGAAAAAAGACGTAAGGTGCTCTTAGGGGCCAAGAGAGTAGTATTCTTACTCAGTGCCCATGGTAGAAATGCTGATATGAAGAAGAAAGTCTCCCCTTAACATCTTAGATAAACCTATTTTGCCTTTAAATGTGCCAAAGCTTTTTGCTTGAAATTCTCATTTAGAATATGCAGCCATCTCTAACTGACTTACTTTGGTGTTCTGGCAGCGTATGACCTTCAACTTTGACTTAAAGAATGTGGAACTATTGTTTTCCGGTTTGGTGATCAATACACCTGGAGGTGAGTAATCCATAAATGGTGACAAAAAATTTAGCAAGCCATATCTATCTCTTCCTGTCATAATTATTGAATCATTATGGTCTTGATATATCACCATCATGGATTCTATTCCTTAAATGGAAGGCAGGATATCTAATACTTACTTTGGTCCTCTGCTAAATCTCCCTTAATTAGTATGTATATATTCTAGAACTCTGAAAAGCCATTTAAATACCAGATAGAAATCTTTTGCAATCCATTTTCTTTCATTCTTTTCCAGAGTGTTTCCTTGTTCAGAACATAAGGTGTTGGTCCTGGACCTAATACTACAGTCACATTCATATACTACAAAGTACATATACATATACATATACACACACATATACTACAAAGTAACTACAGGTTAAAAAGCACTCATCTAAGCAAGGTAAGGGGTGGCATTGTCCAAAAAGAAATGTACTCTTTACCTGACTTATAACCATTATAATAACAATAAACAATTTTTTAAAAGATATAATCCAACTAGTGCCCAGCATAAAAAAAAAGCACTGATTCTAATATAATCCTATTGTATAAATAAAGTTTCAAGTGTTGAAATGACTTGTCCTGAATTACACAGAGCTAGGACAATGGTCTGCATCTTATGACCTTATCTAGACCATTGCTATTGGTGTATGTAAATTATGATACACGAAGTTCTTGGTTCTTGGCATTGAATTCTTTAAATTCAAATTGCCAGGCTCAGTAGTCAAGTGGGCCACCTTTGGAACCAGACATATAGTATTTTGTCTTGAGAAAGGGGGAGCATTTAGCTCAAACAGCTTGTTAAATTAACACCATGAATATGTTCTTATTATGAACACTTCACATTGTGAAAGACTTAGCATGGAAATGCCTGTTCATGATATGTAGCCTGAGCCAGGCAAAGATGTCTCAAGCTTGTTCCTACTTTGGAGGCAGAGCCTGGGGGACCATACTTCGAGGCCAGCCCAGACAAAGAGAAATTTACAAGATTTTACCTCAGCCAATGTATGGGTTCAGTGCTGCATGCCTGCCATGTTGTCACCAGCAACCTGGGGAAGAACAAAGAATACAGTCTAGGCATGAAGTGAAACCTTACCTCAAAAATGACCAAGGTTAAAAAAGGGACTGGAGACATGGCTCAAGATGGAGAGCTCCTTCCTTCTATGCACAGGCCCTGAGTTCAGTCCCTAGTATTGAACTTAAAAGTAGTTACTCTTCTTTTCCATATTCTACATTGTGTATTTGAATGGAGCAGAGCTAATTTAATGAAATTAGGCAACAAGATGAAAAGGTTATTTGAGATAAGTTCTTATATCTTAATCAGAAAGTAAATGGATTCTTCAACAGAAGCTATGGTAACTAAAAACATCTCACTTGTTCTAACCAGGCAGGTAAAGAGGTAACAATACAAAAGCATTTTTTTTTTTAATAATGGCTGGAGGTGTGACTAAAGTGGCAAACCACTTACTTGCCTTAACAAAAACCCTAGTACCACCAAAAACAAAACAAAACACACCTGAAAGCAGAACTTTATCTGTATCGTCTTTCTTTCTGAATTATATACTGGCTAATGATCTTGACAGTGCTACTATCTTTTCCTCCCCTCCTTAGAAATGGCTGGAGCTTTTGTGGCTGTGTTTTTACTAGCAATGTTCTATGAAGGACTCAAGATAGCCCGAGAGAGTCTACTGCGAAAGTCACAAGTCAGCATTCGCTACAATTCTATGCCTGTCCCTGGACCAAATGGAACCATCCTTATGGAGACGCACAAAACTGTTGGGTAAGAAGCTTGAACAGATCCAGAGAAAATTTCTAGAGCCTTGGCTTTGTTATTCAGGAAAGATCTGTTTTATTAGTAGGCCTCTTCCTGAATTCTATGCAGCCTCCAGCAAAACTGTCTGGAGATTTGGGATTGTGGGTTATTTTTTTGTGTGTGTGGTTTTTTTTTTTGTGGGTTTATTTGTTTGTCAGTCACGGGACTTGAACTCTGGGCCTGGGCACTGTCCCTCAGTTCTTCAGCTGAAGGTTAGCACTCTACCACTTGAGTCACAGTGCCACTTCCAGTTTTCTGAGCCATTTATTGGGGATAAGAGTCTCACAGACTTTCCTGCCCAGGCTGGCTTTGAACCACGATCCTCAGATCTCAACCTCCTGAATATATAGGATTACAGTCGTGAGCCACTACCACCTGACTGTGGGTTATATTTATTCTGGGTGTATTTGGCACTTGGAAAGAAGATAAGGAGTCCATATTTTAAAACATTTGCCTATAGGTAAAGTTAAGAATTTTCAGATCAAGGTATAAAAGAATGGTATAATACAATTGGTCCTTTCTGTAAAAAGTTTGATCCAGCCAAATCTAACCTCATTTTATAGTTTGCAACTATGCTAGTGTCAGTGTTCTAAGAAAATATTTGAATGATTATTACTTTACCTACACATCAACAATTTTTTTTGAAATTTGGGATTTATAGAAATGTAAGTCTTTAAGGCTGGGACTATGGCTCTGTGGTAGGGTGCTTACCTAGCATGCATGAAGCCCTGGGTTCAATTCCTCTATACCACATACATAGAAAAAGCTGGAAGTGATGCTGTGGCTCAAGTGGTAGAGCACTGCCTTGAGCACTGCTGAAGGACAGTGCCCAAGCCCTGAGTTCAAGCCCCAGGACTGTTAAAAAATAAAAATAAAAAAGTAAATCTTTAATAGAAGTGTAGGTCTTGAGCCTTAAGAAACCATATAGGCCAACATCCTGCTTTCAGGCAAACAGTATTACTTATTCTTAGTGAGGCCAAAATACTTGTTGAGTTTCTCAAGAGTGACACAAGCGATGAGTAGTTGGGTCTCCTGATCACTAGTTAAGTCATTTCTTCTACAGCACCTAACTCTCAGACTGAATTCCATTCTATAGAATGTGAGCTTTGAAAGTGTTCAGGCAAATCAGTGTGGGAAGATTTAGGGTTTCCCTTTCACAGCCAAAGTAGAGATAAGTCAAGATTACTTCACATTTTCCTCTTCTCCCCAGAAGGGCACCTGCCTCCACCTGATATAGGACCAAATAGGGCCAATGCTTATAAACCTCACAGCCCCATGGTGCCTCATTTCAGGAGCTGCTAATCATTCATACAAATGCAGTGAGTTGCCGGGTAGCTGTGAGGAAGTACAGTTGAGGCTGTGCTTATGGCTGCAGCTGCTCACCACTTCTGATCTGCACATGCTCAGAACCCTGTTTACTCCTCAGGCAACAGATGCTGAGCTTCCCTCACCTCCTGCAAACTGTGCTGCATATCATCCAGGTGGTCATCAGCTACTTCCTCATGCTCATCTTCATGACCTACAATGGCTACCTCTGCATCGCAGTAGCAGCAGGGGCTGGAACAGGATACTTTCTCTTCAGCTGGAAGAAAGCAGTGGTAGTGGACATCACAGAGCATTGCCATTAATGCCAGACTCCATGGTGTGGCCTTACCAATTGCAGTGGGAAGCAGCTTGAGTTGGGAAGACATGATTCCTGCTCCAGTCATCCCTTCTCACTCCTCTCTCTTTACACACACATCTGCTGAGTAGAGGTTTAGTTTACAGTCTCCAAGGTAAAGTGATGTTTTTCAGTAAGCTGAGATTCCCATTTCTCTCATAGTGAAGCCACCCATGAGATGTCATCTCCTCCCTCATCATCCTAGATTGTTGGCTAATCCAAGTAGCTTTCTAGTCAGTGACTTGATTATCTGCTGCTTTTTAATCTTCTGGGTTTTCTTTAACACAATATGTGAATTTGATGGGGGTTGTTTTGTTTTTTGTTTCCTGGGTCAGTAATGAAAAGGGATTAACTTCAACCAGGATTGATGATAGTGAGAGACATTCTTGCCCAACTCAACCCAGGACTCAAATGTCACATTAGAACACAAGTTCCAAGTGGTAAAGTGTCTGTCTAGCAAGCCCAAGGCCCTGCATTCAAGCCCTAGTACTGCCAAGGAAGAAAGGAAGGTCCAGTCATTGTACTCAGTGAGTGAAAAATACATTGTGCCTTTCACTAGGCGTGATGTGTTACACCAGAACCTTTGCAGTGTGTGGAGGGGTGATTGGAGACTAAATGTAGGCCTAGAGCTTGTTGGGTTCTGTATTTTTGGGTTGCTCATCAACTTGTTTTCCCACCTGATATTTTGACATTTTGATTAGGATAAGCTTTCCAATCAGAAAGAAAAAGACAGTCCATTTGAGAAAATAGAAATAGGTTTTTAAAAATAAAACTATTGTCATTTTACTTTGATGTCATTTTACCTTGATTTGACCCTGCTGAATGAAGCAGAAGAGTTTGAATTATCTTTTTCCTATTATTATTTTATATCTGCCTGGAAACCACCAGTGGTTTTTCAGACTTTAGTTGCATCAAAATCATCTGGAAGGCTTGTTAAAACACTAGTTTCTAGGCCTCAAACCCAGAACCCCAAAATTGACATTTCTAAGTTCCCAGGTATGCACTTCGAGAATATCTAATATCTGAGGAGGGAGGTACTTAGTATTGGGCATAAGAATTAGAATGTTCAAGCTGGGCACTGGTGGCTCATTCCTGTAATCCTAGCAACTCAGGAGGCTGAGAGCTAAGAATCACGGTTCAGAGCCAGCCCAGGCATGAAAATCCATGAGACTCTTATCTCCAATTAGCCACCAGAAAACCAGAAGTGGTGCTGTGGCTCAAAGTGATGGAGCACTAGCCTTGAGCTGAAGAGCTGAGGGACAGCGCCCAGGCCCAGAGTTCAAGCCCCACAACCAACACACACACACACACAAATTACAAAGTTCAGGATGGGAATGTGGCTTAGTGGTAGAGTGCTTGCCTAGCATGCATGAAGTCCTGGGTTCGATTCCTCAGTACCACATAAACAGAAAAGGCTGGAAGTGGCACGGCTCAAGTGGGAGAGTGCTAGCCTTGAGCAAAGAAGCTCAGGCACAGTGCCCAGGCCCTGAGTTCAAGCCCCATAACTGGCCAAAAAAAAAAAAAAATTAGAATGTTCATTGTAGGTTGTGTGTCTGGGCGGGTGTATTTCCTGTGATGCTGCTCATCAATACTTTATCATTCCATAAACATTTATTCAGCTTCAGCTGCATACACACACGCCCCCACACACAAATACACAAGTGACAGCTATAGTAGCATTTATGAAGCCACTGGTTTTTAAAAATGGTTTCTTGGAAGTGATTTGTAGGCTGCAAGGAACAAAGGCAAAAGCCAGGCATTGTCTTGGAGAGACTTAAGAGTGTGGTTTGCTGATGGGCAGATTTTCCTCTGCCCTCAAATCCCATGCCTCATACCCTAGGTAGAACCTTGTCCACCTTCATTACTCTTGGGAACTTAATCAGATTACGAGTGGCCAAAACCTCTTTGCTCAATGAAGAATCACATTGGATTTTTATTCTGTTCAGTCTTTAGTCTATACTGCAGTCTTATTCCCCAAACTACCTCTTTAAAGTGATTCTTCCAGTCTGTTAATCCTGCCCTTCTTGGTGCTAGATCCAATTGTGCCTCTGGGCAGAGAAGACAAGACAGCTATCCTGTTGGCCTGTGTTGTGGATTTGAAGTTTGTACTTCCTCTGTAGGTGCCAATTCAATACTGGAAAACAAGTAATATGTACTTTGGTGGTCTTGAACCGAGAGGCTTTGAGGCTCTTGGATCAAGGTTAAAATCCAAGAACCAACATTTAGAGCTTTGCTTTTCTCTCAGTTCAGCCCCCTGTAGTGCTGATACTCAGCATGAGAAAAGTGAGTAACAGGTACTGACAGAGCCCAACATTACAGTGTAAATAGTCTGTTGTTTTCTCCAAAGCCAAGGAATAATAAATAAGAAACAATGCTAAGTGGTGACTGGTGCTCTCTAGAAATCTCCATGTGAGCTGCTATCAAGTATCTTCCAGGAGCTAGGAATGTAGCTCAGAGGTAGAGCACTTGGGTACCATGTACAAGGCCCTGGATTCAATCCCCAGCACTGTAAAAATAAAATGAAACACCTTCCAGTACTTAATCAATGAGGTAAGAAAAACCAAGCCCAGTTTAGCCAAAGTACTATGAATTTGCAACTTACAGACAGACCTAGAATGAGTCTTTAGGTATTTAGGGTAGAAATAATCTGAAGCCGGGCGCTGGTGGCTCATGCCTGTAATCCTAGCTACTCAGGAGGCTGAGATCTGAGGATCGAGGTTCAAAGCCGGCCCGGGCAGGAGAGACCGTGAGACTCCTATCTCCAATAAACCACCAGAAAAACCGGAAGTGGCGCTGTAGCTCAAGTGGTAGAGCGCTCGCCTTGAGCTGAAGAGCTGAGGGACAGCGCCCAGGCCCAGAGTTCAAGCCCCACGACCGACAAAAAAAAAAAAGAAATAATCTGAAAATCCTGAATTTTATAAGTCTTTATACTAGGTGGCCAAAGGATGAGGCCAGTGAAAGAGAAAAATCTTAAAGCTTAAATTCTGACTTTCTTGAGCTCTTGGGTTTTTAATAATACAGCAATCTCACTGACTAATTTTTGTCTCATTTCTTATCCCTGTTCATTTGGAATTTGATGCCTATTCTCTGGGTTTTGTTTTTTTTTTAATCTGAAATTCTTCTTGCTCCTTGTTCATGTCTGTTAGAAGACTGTATCTCCATTTTATTTTTTTTAGTTCCCTCCTTTTCTCTCCTTTTTCAGTCTTTTGTCTCTGGTAATCCAGTGCATTGTCTCCCTGGCCCTTCTGATGCAGTGGGCACTGCTGGACTGTGGATTTAGATACCAGCCAGAACTTGATTTCCAAGCCTGCTAGACCTTCCAGAAGCAATGCCACTGAAATTTGTGTAATGCTGGGCAAGGGGGCTACCTAGTACCCTCCCTAGAGATGCAGAATCTCAGGTGCTGACACCACTCCACTCACCACCAGTGCCCACAAACAGAAGGTTAGAAATGAAGTCTCTTCACTTGTCCTATGGTAGGGTTGTCCAGAATTAGTTTTTAGGCCACAGATACTGGGTTTGGGTTCCAGTCTCAAGGAATTCCTTATAAAGATCTGTGGGGTGGGGCATGGGAATACACAGTCTATGTCATTTGATTTTGACCCTGCCCACTCTAGCCACTTCTTCAGAAAATACATCTAAAGATACAAAGTCCGGGTTTGCTATAATGCCTTAATCACTGGTCTACAATTCATGTTGACTGTTTTAGATTGTAAGCTCCTGGAGAGCAGTATTGCTGTCGTAGGAATGTTTTAACAGTGTCATGTGCAAAGGAACAAAATAAATATTTTGATTTTGTGATTGTATGCATGTCTTTCTATCCAGAATGAAATCAGAATAAGCTGGTTTCTTTATAATGTGCAAAGGCTGGTTGTTGCCATTGGTTTTAAGGTGTCAATAATTTTCAGATGTCATGATTCCATTGTCTTCATTTCTCTCTCCTTAAAATGCCAGCCTAGAGTCAGGGTGCCATTGGCTCACACCTGTAATCCTAGCTACTCAGGAAGCTGAGATCTGAGGATCACAGTTCAAAGCCAGCCCAGATGAGAAAGTCTGTGAGACTCTCATCTCTGGTAAACTACACAGGGCTCAAGTGGTAGAGTGCTAGTCTTGAACAAAAGGAGCTTAGAGACATCTCTGAGGCCCAGAGTTCAAGCCCAGGACTGGCAAAAAAAAAAAGCTAGTAACATATGAAGATCTATGTGACTCCTGGGGTTTAAACTCAGGATCTTATGCTTGCTGGGCAGTCTTATCACTGGAGCCACATCTCTTAATCCCCTACATGACCTTTTTCATTCCAGAGACAGAGTTTTCATGAGCCTTTTCATGAATATTTTGAAATAGCAAGGATTCCTGAATTTTTTAAAATTGAGGACGAGGCAGGGTGGCATATTACCTGTCATCCCAACTATGGCAGAGATAGTTGTTGATTGGCATGCGGTAGGCACTCGGTACTTGCTGAATAAATGAGTCAATTAAATGTGACAGGAATCAACCCAAGGCATTTTATGCTTAGAGTCTTTTACTAAATACAGGTAGAATGAGGTTACCTCTTAAAGCCTGGAGCTTAACAATATTATTTACTTCACCAAGGATGTCTCACACTTTTCCAAAAATACATTTATTTTTAAAAACAAAGTCAGATAAGCTTTACACAGTCAAATTTTCCAGACAAACCAGAATTTGGGTTCCAGCTTGTGTGTGTTACACATCAGTAATTTCATGCAAAAATGATTTCTCTCTGCAGGAGGTAAAACATTCTGCTTCACTACAAGCATTCAATGCTCTAAACCTGATTTGTACTTCTGCCATCATTTTATTCCATGCCAGGGTTCTGGCATTCAAGAAAATCCATCTAAAATTCAAAATTTCCAAACTGAGATGCGCGATTGTTGGGCTTGGGCTGGGGTTTATAGCCAATTCGATCATTAATCATTTGTTCCCGGCTTTTGGGGTCACTGTTGAGCCCAATGGCTCCTTCGCCATCACTGCTTCCCACAACATCCACATCTTCTTTCTGTTTCTTACGGGTCTGAAAATACAAAATTATAGGATTAAGGCAACTTTTTTTCAAAATTAGCAAATGTTTGTTTAGCACCTACCATGTTCTCAGTATGGCATGATAAGACAGAATTAGGCTCTAATAAACAATAAATGGAAATCTTGGTTTAAGATAACTAGGGTACCAGTGGCTCACACCTGTAATCTTAGCCACTCAGGAGGCTCAAGGTTCAAAGCGAGGCTGGACAGATAATTCTGAAAGACTCTTACCTCCAATTAACCAACAAAAAAGCCAGAAGTGAAGATGTGGCTCAAGTGGTAGAGTACCAGCCTTAAGTGAAAAAGTGCTCTTAGCTTTGAGTTCAAGCCCCTGTTCCAGCCCAAAATAATAAAATAGTTACAAGAAGGATACAGCATGCAGCAATAAGCTATGTAGCCCCAATATTCCATGGCATTATAGTCTAAGGGACCCACTAAATAGCATAGGGCTGTCAGGGCTATGACAGAAGAGTGCCCACACTGCCAGGGATGCAAAGAAAAGGAGTTGTGCTGTGTGAAGACCCAGCAGGATGCTGCACCAGAGAGACACATAAGAGGTGGCAGGCTAAGGGCATGGAAAGGAATAAGCAAGTTGTATTATTCAAGAGAATGAATGGAAAAGAACATGACTTGTAAAATAACCACCAAAAATTTACAGCCAAACTGACTCACAGACACTGCAAGTACCACCAGAAAGGTCTATACTAGCTCATCAAGAGGTCTCTGTTGAAGGGCTTCATTTTGAT